TAATTCAAGGACCACCTGCGTTCCTATGACTTTATATGGTTTACTCAATTAGCCCAATTTTCCAGGTTGTAAAGTCATAAGCCAGATAATCGATTGTCTTAAAAGTATTGTTTGTCATCCAAACTATGTTGTCTAAATACAGCCAATGTCAACTTCAAAGCGTGGTTTAATGTCAAGGTTCTGACTGGCAAACCGCAGCGGAAGGGTGCTGGGCCCATAACCCAGAGGTCGATGGATCGAAACCATCCTTGCTACCAACTGGGTTTGCAACTTTTGTAATAGGGAAAGGCCCCACTTACTTTGGACCCAGTGGAACTTACCCTATGTCCAGAGGTGAGTTTCCAAATGTTTACCTACCAGTTCTATGCATGGAAAGCTGCCTGAACTCATTTTTAGCTCAGCTGAGGCACAGCAATCTCACAAATCAGCTGAGCTTTGCATATGTGCCTGTTCTGATCATGGCTTCCTGAGACCGTAATTAAGCACACGCTTAGTCCAACTCTCTTTTTATTTCAAAGCTGGGAATTATGTTCATTCCCAGCCCGTAATGAGTCCCAAACAGTCCCTCGAGATAAGCACCCACCTTCTATCTCCTTTGAATTGCTGCCACTAAAGTGCCAAATTAACTGTAAAAAACCAACCAAAGTACAAAGTCCACATAGAGCTTCAAGGTTTAATCCAAAGAGAGCGAACAACTTTGCTTCCTGCACAGTTTTCTCTACCTTTGCACCTCCTTTATACCTTAGGGGAGGAGCAATCACCTCCAAGCCTTACTCCCGAGTCGCCCCTTTTGTCTCAGTTGCTCTTGCCTTCTAGCAGCTCTGCGCGCACATGCTCTGGGAACAGGCTCCCCTTTTTCCTCTGCCTCGCTGCTTCCAGACTCTGAAGCTCCGGAGGCAGCACCCCACTCCCAGATGGTCCTGGCTCCATCTGTATCAGACGCAAGATCCTCGTTCAAGTCCTCTCCAGACTCCCTGACTGGTCCCCGTTCTTCCCCACTATCCGATTCCACTGCCATCTGCACAGACTGCCAGCAAATCACAACAGTGCTCCGTGCTCAAATACAGACCTCTATCAAGACAGGAAAGCTGCCTGGACTGTTTTTTTTTATTCCAGGCAATCAGCTGAGCTAAAAAACAAGGAAATATAGGACAGGTAACGGCGGGGGGGGGGGCAACTAGAGGTGGCATTTGCGGGTTTTTCAAACTGGTCAAAATTTCCACAACCGGTTCTCCAGAACCTGTCCGAACCAGCTGAATACCACCTTCTGCCTATGTCTGAAGTGCAGTGGGTTAAAGCTCAGAGCATGAAGGAGGCTGGCTGGTAAGGAGACACCACGCCATTAAGTCAAGATGGCGCTTGCAATCATGTGGATCAGATGTTGCAACCCAATGAAAACTAGAGCCAATAGAGTTTTCCTCTCCCTACATCAGATTTTAAGCACAATAATACCTCTGTGTTTTCTATGTTTTCTTTGATCTACAGCAACTTAGATGAATCGGTTTGCCGAAGCAGCATATTTCTCAAGCACTGTAGTTGGCAGTACTTGTTACAAAAACACATATTTGGCAGGGAGGCCCAAACAAAAGGCTCTTTGACCTGGTACAATTGATTTTCTGTCCCATACAGCAGATAATAAATGTGAGGCTGGCTCAGTTTTGACAGGGAAAAGGTATTGATCTAATATATGCCTTCTTTTTTAACTACCACAATCCACTAAGAGATTGTTTGCGGAGACAGAGAAGTGCTGAATCTAACTAACATCACTGTTTGTTTTATTTTTCTTCTTCAATACTCCAATGATCTTTGGAACACTGAATAAATACAGGTAATCATCAACTTACAACCACAACTAAGCCGCCCAAATTTCCATTGCTAAGCAAGGCAGTTGTTTAAGTGAGCTTTCCCCCATTTTACGACCGTTTTTGTTGCCGTTAAGCGACTCATTGTAGTCGTTAAGTGAACTATGTGGTGATTAAGTGAACCTGGCTTCCCCACATTGAGTTTGTTTATTGGAAGTGAGCTGGGAAAGTTACAAACGGTGATTGCACGATCTCATGGTGCCATAACCATCCTAGATATATTCCAGTTGCCAAGTGCTCAAATCTTGATCCTGTGACCGTAGGAATGCCACAATGATTATAAGTGTAAAAAACACTTATAAGTTTCTTTTTTGGGGTGCCTTTGTAACTTTGAACTATCACTAAATGCACGGTAGAGTCAAAAAACTACTTGTACATTTTAATGCATTTTAGCCATTGGCAGCCTAAAGCCTTCTGCTTTAAGTTATACCATGCCAGCTTTACTGGGTAGACCAGACAAGAAACATGTACACATGAGCTAGATAATTGTACTTTATTGTGAAGTTACATTAAAAAGAATCTTGCAAGTTTGAAAGTATGTCTCTCCATTTTACAGCTCCCAGATCAAGAAAGGTTTATTCTGAGTCTCTTGATCAGCTCCTCTATTGAGCATCTCCTCTGAATTACTCTGAAAGACTGCAATGCTCCCTAGGGTACTATTGATTATTGGCATACAGTATGAATTGAAAGAAAGAAAAAGAAAGAGAAAGAGAAAGAAAGAAAAAGAAAGAGTGAAGGAGAGAAAGAAGAAAAAGAAGGAAGGAGAGAGAGAAAAAGGAGGAAGGAAGGAAGGAAGGAAGGAAGGAAGGAAGGAAGGAAGGAAGGAAGGAAGGAAGGAAGGAAGGAAGGAAGGAAGGAAAAAAAGAAAATATTTATTGTAGCCTCACAAAGCAGAAAACACTAAGCCTTTTGAATTTGCAGCTCATCTTCAGAGATATCTGGAGAAGGTTTCAAAATGGCAGCCATAATTGTGCAATCAAAGCACTATCTTTTAATGCGCATAATGCATGTTTAAAATGACAACTCTTTGACCTTATGGTTACAACCACTATTTTGACTTTTTTAACAGCCTTGCTGATGTCAGACACAAATATATAAATTACAGGGTTGGTAGTATTGACATGTATCTCAATGCACATTTCACCATCGACCCCTTCCTTGCCCTTCAGCCCTGTGGCTGCTTCTGCTGACAATTGATCTGTTGTTATATCTTTGTGTTTTATTGCCTCTGCCTGATACATGAACCTACTCAGTTGACAAACAAAGAGTTTTGGTTAAGATTTTTAACTGGAAAGTTATGGCTGGGCTTGTTCAACACAAATAAGGGGAGTTCGTCTATGGATCACTGCACCGTGCAAACCCAGCCATGTGATTAGAAGCTGCTTCAAAGGGTCAGATAAACACTGAAAATAAAGGCTAATTGGGAAAACCATGCTTACTTCATTAAATCTAGGAGTCAGCTTTGCATGCAAGTACAGCTCCTAAAATACATGGTTAATTCTGACTCTGAAATCAGAAATGTGAAACAGGAGAGATTATCAGCTCTTGGAACAACTGCAATGATCTTTTTCAAATTTTGAAAGGCATGGTGGCGGTATATTACATTATGGTGGTAGTATAGATTGTGCAGTATTTTAAAATATGGATCATTGAAATTTAGTTTGCAGGGAAGGGATGAAAAAATTAAGATGGCAAGCATGACTGCATGTTCAAAGCCCCACTCTTTTTCTACACATGTTGTAGTAGACTTATACTCAAAAATTTACTGCTAATCAGTACAGCTGGCCCAGCAGAGATGTTGTATGAGCATACCTGGATGCCCCCTCAATTGCCCACACTCTGAATTCCAAGCCCACATGCAGCACTTTGTAATACAAATAGTTGTCAGCTTGCAGGCACAATTGAGACCAGAAGTTTCATCGCAAAGTACAGTGGTACCTCAATACTCATCATTAATTTGTTCAGGGAGACGCAATGTGTTACCTAAAATAATGAATATCAAACATTTTTTTCCCATAAGAAATAATGTAGTGAGTCATAAGGCAGCCAACACTGACAATCTTGCTTATGCATTAAGCACCGAATAAATGATGAGTACAGAACACAATTTTCATGTCAAAATGAGTTGAGGACCAAATTTGATGAGTTTCAAAGCAATTGAGCACCAAAGGTACCACCAAAAGGCAGTTGTTAAATTGAGTTACGCCCACTTTTATGACCTTTTTTGCTCTGTTAAGTGAATCACATGGTTGTCAAGTGAATCTGGCTTGTCCCGTTGGCTTTGCTTGTTAGGAGCTGACTAGGAAAGTAGCAAATTGTGATCAAGTGATCCCAGGACATTGAAACCATCACAATTACATGCCAGTTGCCAAGTGCCTGAATTTTGATCATGTGACTGTAGGAACGCTGCAACAGTTGTGTGAGGATTGGTTATAAGACACTTTTTTTCAGCATAGTTGTAACTTTGAACGTGGCTAAACTAATAGTTGTAAGTAGAGTCACGTGTGAATTGATTTAAGATGTAAGTGACTATGACAGAGTATTTCCAGTCCCCAAAAGAACAAAATCAGTACATGCTGGCTGGGGAATTCTACTGGTAGGAATTAAAAGCTTGCATATCTTAAAGTTGTTAGGTTTGAAAAACACTGATCAAAAGGTCCACTGGCCAAAATCCCATCAGCAATCCTATCCTTACTGAGAAATCTGTGGTTCGGTATAGCTGATGTCTTCAAAAGCAGATGATTTTTTTTAAAAGGATAGGTAAGGAATATGTCAGCCTTGGGGAAAGCAAGATTGGTTTACAAGAACAGAAAATGTGGAATTATATTGTGAGTGACTAATTTGCAGGTAATTCAGTATACACGACACTACAGTAGACTTACGGTACACAACAGTATGGCATTTGGGGCAATATTCTTCTGTTTTATCTCTCGATTTCGTCTGGCCTGCCAAATGTAAACATCCACGAGGAGGCAGCAGGGATACACAACCTTTAGTAACAGTTCTTGACTGCCGCCTAACAAAACTTACAGCGAAAGAGATGAGGATGAAAATAATTCTCCACCCACACGCAAAGCTCTATAAACTACATGGGGGCGGTAGAGAGCCGGAGTGCATCGTTGCGCGTGCGCAGAGCAGAATTTCATTGGCCCAGATCCGTCAGGCGAGACCACGGTTTGAGAAGCCCAAGCGCGCCTGCTCAAATTGCAGGGTAGCGCATGCGCGCTGGTAGCGTCGAGATCGTCTGGTAAGCGAGCGCTTCGTGAGGGGCGTTCTTTACTCGCTCCCGGTCTCAGCGATGACCAGCGGGATGTCGAAGTGGGAGTCGGGTGCCCAGGTGAGGCAGGTACCGGTTTACCGGCTCCTGCGTGGGAAGGGGAGGAGACCTGAGACTGTTTCCTAATGGAGGAGTGTCCCATAGTCGAGGTGGTATACTGTTGCAGATTATGGAGGCTCTGCTGTGAAAGCTCCTTTCGCCCTTCCTATCTTCCTTCCTTTATCTCCAATGACCCGTTTTGTCCTTGTTGCATGGACTTTGTGGCCCTAAAACAGTTCACTTGCTGCTTTAAATCAGCTTTCAATCCAGAAAGGTTGACTTTCTAGTTTCATCGGGATAATTGGGGATTATGGGAAATGAAAGTACAGCAACTTCAAGATGGATGGACTTCAATTCCAAGAATTCTCCAGCCAGCAATTCTGGGAGATGAAGTCCACCCAAGTTGCTCAGGTTGAGAAATTATGCTTTCATTTCAGTATTTGCCTGCAGCACAGGATGCAAAATGAATGGGAATTACACAAACACAGACAACTGCTTTGTAGTTGCAAAAAGTGTGTGGACATTAATAAAGGCAGGTGTAGGAAAAAAAATCAGGGTAATTGTAAACCTTTTGGGACAGTTTGTGTCCTCGCAAACAATTCAAAGACAAAAGAAAAGGGACATAAACTGGATAAAATAGAATAGAATAGAATAGAATAGAATCCTTTATTGGCCAAGTGTGATTGGACACACAAGGAATTTGCCTCTGTGCAAATGCTCTCAGTGTACATAAAAGAAAAAAATATATATTCATCAAGAATTATAAGATACAACACTTAGTGATAGTCATAGGTTACTATAAGCAATCAAATCATACATGCATAGGTTACTAACATGCAATAAAAACATACTAGGAAAACAAATAAAACAATATAAATTGTAAAGATACAAGCAGCAGAGTAATAGTCATAAGTGACTAATAAGTGAGAAGTAAGTGAGAAGTATAGGAAGGATGACAATAATAATAGTAATACAATCTTACTAAGTAACTTGACAATGTTGTCAGAGTTAGTTGTTTGCTAATTCCACCCAGTTGTTTGCTAATTCTACCCAGGTTTTGGGGGGGAGAGGGAGAACCTAAAAGCCTTTTTTTATACCATGATGGCAATATGTCAGCTGTCTTCACTTTGCAACAGATTGATGCCAGCCTTTCAAGACAGCAGTCTGGCTTTAGAGCTTCAAGAAATCAACAGTTTGTCTGTGGAAGTCTGTCAGTTGGTTGTGTCACTGTTTTTTTTTTTCTGCTTTGCAGCTCACAAAAGTTTTTATTAAATTTTGGCTCCATTTTTTTTACAATTGTTGAAACAACTGAAAAACTATTTTACTTGCCATGAATGTGACATTCACTTTCAGCTCTTAGGTTGGCCCTTTAGGTTATAATAGTTCTTAAAATGGCTGACAAGTTTTCTGTTAAGTTGCTTATTATCTGAATTTAATGCAGCACTCAGAGCCCCTTTTGAAATATAAAGTGACATTAATGGAAAGCAAAAATGATGTTGCTTAAAACTCTTTGCAGCAAAAGTGAAATTAAGGCATCCTAAATAGGTAGCAAGGTAGAATTTTTAGCCTGCAATTTATTCAGCCAGTAGGGTTTTTTAAAAAAAAAATCAATTTTGAGTGTGGTCAAAAGTATAACCTTTTATGAAGATTAATATTTAATATCATTATTTGAAACTGTGGTGACAGTGCTTGGTTTTGGCATGCGTCTTCTTTTTTATTTCTTTTCTGTTAGCTGGTTCTCCCAGGATGTTAGTGCACACAGCATGATGCTAAATCACTGCACTTACTTTGCCTTAAAAACCAGAGAGTAAACATGAATGCATTAGTGTTTAAATTATTATAATAACCTGCGTCGGCCGTTAAGGACCTGCTGTTTTTTCCCTGTCAAAAATATCCAAACCCTTGTAGGGCAATTATCTAGCCCATAATAAATAGTGGAGTTCTATAATTTAGTCCACAATCACCAGAAAGAATAACTTGCCTAGCAGTTAGAAGAGCAGAAAGTGAGCAATCTAAAAAAATTTTTTACCAAGGAAAACTATTTATCAGTCAGTTGATTGCAGTTGCTTGTTAACTTTGTCTGGATGTAGGAAGATCAATAAAATCAGTCTTGGTTAGTGCTTTATAGAATACCACAAGGAAATCTCAGAGTTGTATTGTTTCGTTGTTAGTTGCGAAGTTGTGTCCAACCTATCACAACCCCATGGACAACGTTCTTCCAGGCTTTCCCGTCCTCTATCACAGTGGCCCCCAACCTTTTTTGTGCCACGGCCCGGTACCGGCATCAGCACACATGGCAAGGCGAGCCGAGCGACCAGCCAGCCAGCCGTCCCCCGCTTCTCCCCACCACCTTCAACTCCTCCTTTGTTCCCTTGTTGATGGGCTTCGGGACGGCTTTGGGACAGCCGCTCAGCTCACCTTGCCTTGGGTGCTGAAAGAATCCTCGCACCTTAGTTTTGTTCAAAGCCGCCGCCCCCCTTCGATGAAACTAAGGCGCGAGGATTCCTTCAGGACCCAAACGCCGCTTTCCAACCGGAAAAGCTCACCGGAAGCACTTTCTCATCAAAACAAGATGGCGGCGCCCAGCAAACCAGCGGCCCAGTAGAAAATGTTCCACGGACTGGTACCGTTCCGCGGCCCGGTGGTTGGGGACCCCTGCTCTATCATATTCTGGAGTCCATTTAAGCTCACATCTACTGCTTCAGAGACCCCATCCAGCCACCTCATTCTCTGTCATCCCCTTCTTCTACTGCCCTCCATCGTTCCCAGCATTAGCCTCTTCTCCAGGGAGTCCTTCCTTCTCATTAAGTGGTCAAAGTATTTAAGTTTCATCTTCAGGATCTGGCCTTCTAAAGAGCAGTCAGGGTTGATCTCCTCTAGGACTGACCGGTTTGATTGCTTTGCAATCCAAGGGACTTGCTGGAGTCTCCTCCTCCAGCACCAGAGTTCAAAGGCTTCGATTCTTTGGCGCTCAGCCTTCCTTATGATCCAACTTTCACAGCCATACATTGCAACTGGGAAAACCATAGCCTTGACTATACGTACTTGTGTTGGCAGGGTGATGTCTCTGCTATGTAGTATGCTGTCTAGATTTGCCATAGCTTTCCTCCCCAGGAGCAAGCGTCTTTTAATTTCTTGGCTGCGGTCCCTATCTGTGGTGATCTTGGAGCATAGGTTATATAGTTAATAAGTATATAAAAATTATATAAAAATAATAAATATATAAACAAGTTATATAGTTAATAATATTATTATAGTTAATAATAATAGTTGTATTCTAGATTGGGAAATTTAAAAAAGATCCTGGAAAAAAGGCAATGATGAACAATATCTACATTACTCAAAATATTACACGGATATGCAGTAAGCAAAAGCTAAGCTCAATTCAAGGGAATTTTTTTAAAAAATGGCTGCTATTTCAGAACATCTGAAACTTACTTATAGCTAGCTACCTGAATCTTTTAACTGGAGATATAATGTAATGCAAATAGTCCTCGACTTGCAACAGTTCATTGAATGACTGTTCAAAGTTACAGCGGCACTGAAAAAATTGACTTAAGACCATTTTTCATTATGATCTTTGCAACATCCCCATGATCATATGATCAAAATTCAGATGCTGATTCGTTTTATGACCATTGCTGTGTCCCAAGGTCATGGGATCACTTTTGGTGATGTTCTGACAAACAAAATCAATGGGGAAGCTCATTTACAACTGGGGTTACTAACTTATCAACTGCAGTGATTCGCTTAACAACTGAGGCAAGAAGGGTTGCAAAATGGGGCAAAACTCGCTTAACAAATGTCTCACTTAACAGAAATGTTGGGCTCAGTTGTGTTGTAAGTCGAGGACTACTCGTAATGTAAATTGGGGTCTCACATGGGCAAGGAATGCATTACGAATGAAGGCAACATATTCATGTCCCAGGATAATATTGCAGGATCCAATCTGAATCGATCACCAGAACCAGAGTTTTAATCTTCCAAAGTTTTGGATTTTTGCTGGAGCCCATCCTCAGGGAACGAGAATGCATGAGGATCTCTCTGCAGAATGTGCATTCTTTCATCAAGTTATTCCCTCTCTACAGCTGGTCCAAACTTTTTGGAAACAAAAGTTGAGAGGACTGACTTATTTTTTTAGCTGACTTTTGTCTACCTTAAGGTTCAATATTTTCGTTTGTCAAAATTCTTTCTGTGAAATTGAAAGCGGAAAGCTGCAATAAAAATAATTACATCATTGCTCTAAAATACAAAGGGTTTTCATTACTGATTCTCCCATAGAGAAGCGAGCAGCAAGAGCTGGAACTTAATTATTTGATATTTGCTTTTTAAAAAGTCATTACTAAAAGAAATGAAACTTCAGAAGAAATAAACCCAGCGACAAGATTATGGGACAAAAATATTACATAGGTGTGTAACAAGCCGTCACATGGTGCCATTGGGAACATGTCCATTTCTGTCTTTGAATCTCAGGAGTTTTGAAATACTAAAAGCATCCCATTAAATTGAGAGACTTGTCCACCTAACACAAAAATCTATATTGCATTAGGCTCTCTTGAGTGTGTTTTCCAGGAATTTCTTGTTAAACACTATGAACTTTGCAATCCAAAATAAATGGGCCATTCTGTCTACAAAGCCATGGTGTTAGAAAAATGGGCACATAAAGAACATTTGACCTTCAGCTGCATATGTGACTGTGCTTCTTGCCAAATGCCTAAATATTGCCTTCATTTGGATCTTTTGAGTATCTTGCAGACCTGCAGCTTCCAGAAAGAGTTGGAAGATTGTTTATCATACACAGCAAGCTACCACTTGAGCTTGGGATTGCAATAATTTGTGTCTGATGGCTAATGGAAGGTGGTGCAATTTCATCTTAAAATACTCCATCATTAGACAGCTGATTTGATTAGCATCACTCCAAAAAGGCAACAAGTTTTCAAGTATTTGAGTTCTCCAGGACTTTATTCTCAAAGAGAAAGTTACAAACAAAAAGCAAGATATGTCCAGGAAAAAGAAAATAAGCTATGAATTCTGCTATTCAAATTCAATACTATCTACATCTTTCAACTTAATATGTATCTGAAGACCCTGAAAGACCACTAGATTAGAAGCAGTCTGAAAATCCTGAAATGCTTTTTTTTTTGTTTGGCTCTGATAAAAGTGAACAAATTATACTGAAATTCAGATAAATTGGAAGGAAGCTTCAGTGGTACCTTGGTACTCAACTGCTTTGAAATTCATCAGATTTGATATTCAATGCATTTTGATGTGAAAATTTTGTCCCAGGACTCATCATTTGTTTCGTACTCAGCACACAGGCTAGAACTTGTCAGTGTTGGCTACCACTGTGACTCATTACGTTACTCTTTATGGGAAAAATGTGTTTGGTACCCATCATTTTGATACTCATCGCACCTCCTGGAACCAATTAATGATGACTACCAAGGTACCGCTGTATCTTAAATGCCAGCATGCCTAGGAAAAGGTAACTCACATGGGAAATGCCCCTGGCCTTGGAGCAATTCGTAGTTTTCCAAGTGCAGCTGGCGGTTCCACTATTGCAGAAGTTTTGTTTATTCTGCAGTTTGTGCTCTTGTCTGGTCCAAGAGAAACCAGCAGCCGTGCATGACTATAGTTTGTGGAGTTAGTCGCCTTGATGGGGAGATAATGTGATTTCCCTTGAAAATTAGTGGGAAACTGAATGTTGCAATCAACCTCAAGATTAAGAAGAAAAGAACATATACATTGGTAGCTGGATGTCTTTATTGCTCCGGAATTTCTGGAGAATAACATAGTGTGATGGTTGTATCCCCAGGCACTGGGAGCAGACAATAATGCTTCCAGATTTAAGGGGGAATAGAGAGATAACCCTACTAACTACAGTAGTCCTCAACTTACAACAGTTCATTTAGTGATTGAAGTTACAACGGCATTAAAAAAAATTGACATGACCATTTTTCACACTTACAACTGTTGCAGGATCCCCTGATCAAAATTCAGATGCCTGGCATCTCATAAAATATGACGATTGTAGTGTCCTGGGGTCATGTAATCATCTTTTGCGACTTCCGATAAGCAAAGTCAGTGTGGAAATCAGATTCACTTAACATCTATGTTACTGATTTAACAACAACAGTGATTCATTTATGATCTGAGATAAAACGGGACAAAATTCACTTAACAACTGTCTCACATAGCAACATAAAATTTTGGGTCAACTGTGGTTGTAAGTCGAGGAACTCCCTATACAGGACATAGGCTTAACATAATCAGCAAACTTTATCCTAAATACCCCCAAGATAAACTTAAGGATTGGTTGCATCAGGGAAATTTGGTAGCAGAACAACAGCCCAGTTTTAAAGAAGGCGCCATTGATCAACGTTTGCCACATTGTTGGTTGAATATTTTCTAACTAAGTTACAAAATATTCAACCAACCATGTGGCATTACTATATGTTACTATTATAGCTCTTAAGGCAGCTTCTGAGTATGTAACCAGGACCAAATTATGGGAGAGCCTGGAAGCCACATTCTTTCCCACCTGATGGCATTTGAGTTCATTTCATAGTCCTTTTGCCTAAATAACCAGAGCGCTAATGTACCTTTGAAAAGAAACTGTTTTATCTTCCAAGATTAGGAAAATACTGGAGTTTTATCATCAGGAAAGTGGATTAAAGGAGAAATGTTGATGGCTTTTCTTTATAGCCCAGGTACTTCCTAGAAAACCTAATTCCACAATTAACATCTCAAAATAGAGAAAATTATTTTGTGTCAGACTTAAGATTGCTGTTATTCTGTGACTTTCTGTGTACCTAAACTCACCTCAGTACAATATAATGCTAGTTTTGAGCCCATTAATTTTTTTTCATTGTTAGGTTGTACTTTGCAATATTGTAGTGAGTCTTGCAATTGCTTTGGGCAATTTTAGTAAAATGAAGAAATAAGCTAAACTTTATATAACTTGTTACGAATCACTGATTACAGGTAGTCCTCAACTTACAACCGTTCAGTTGGCTGTCGTACAGTAGACCACTGAAAATGACATTTATAATCTAATTCTGAGGCTCTGGTGGCCTCTGCTCAATTCTACATTTTGGCACTTGGCATCCAGTCTGCATTTATGCCATTTGACCATAATTTAAGAAGTGTTTGCCCCAAACCAGCATTTAGTTACGGTTTTTGGCAGAAATGCCCATAGTAAACAAGGGGTTTGCTTAACAACCACTACCAAAAACAGGCATAAAATCAGTCAGTCCCCTGGGTCAGCCATGTCATTATGAATATAATGGACAGAGGCCTATTACGGTCATAAGTCAAGGACCACACAAACATTTGTCACAGCAAACATCATTTTCTGGGAACAGGTATTTCTTTGATCGTTGAAACATGTCCAGAATTTTAAAATCAATTATATACATATACAACGTAAACACTTAAGCTACTGTGAAATCATTGAATTCATATTTATGGTATCTAACAACTTGCCTTTTTTCCCCCAAAAGCTGATTGCTCGTCTTGAAGGTCGAAGTTCTCTGAAAACTCTTGAACCGTGCCTGTTTGCTGAGGAAGGATATCCCATTTATGGTTTGGAAATATAAATATATATATATATTTCTGGCAAATATGCTACTTTGCATATTCAACCAGTGCATATTATTTTAAATACAGGTAGTCCTCAACTTACCACCACAACTGAGTCCAAAATTTCTGTTGTTAAGTGGGTTTTACTATCTCTCTAGTCCCAGTTGATAAGTGAATCACTGGACTTGTTAAGTTAGTAACACAGTTGTTAAATGAATTTGGCTTCCCCCTTGTCAGAGGGTCGCAAAAGCGGGTTTGGGGACACTGCAATGGTCATAAATATGAGTCAGTTGAATTTTAATCACGTGATTGTTGGGAGTGTGAAAATTGGTCATCAGTCACTTTTAATGTTCCATTGTAACTTCGAACAGTCACTGTTGTAAGTTAAGGGCTACCTGTACTACAAATCTCTCCTCTTCCCAAAAACACAACCTCTAACTCTAAAAATTTACACATTTTGGAAATATGAAGAAACTTTCTGTGGCTAGAGAGTGACCACTAATCTGTTTTATTGTATTCTGTTATGTCAGCTGGTAGTTTCCAGTAAGTTTTAAAGTGTTCAATGTTAATAAAAACACTGGAGATTAGATAATGATTTGGGAAGCTCTTTGCTCTAGAAAATACAAGTGTTTGCTCCTCCATTTTTTTCCCTTGGGTTTTATCTCCTTGCTTATAGTGCTGCTTACTCCAGATTAATTCCTGTAAAACCAAGAAATGTAAACTAATTATGCTGAATTGGAGTTGTCCAATAATCAGAAGATTCCACATGTTTTTCCTTTGGATTATATGTGAAGCGTGAGGATTCAAAGGGGGAAAAATATTTGGAAGGTACTGTACATGACCACATTTCTCTTCCCCGCTTCACAGGAGACGTCGTTGAATTCCACGGTGCGGAAGGCACTGGGAAAACAGAAATGCTCTATCACCTCATTGCTCGCTGCATTCTTCCAAAATCAAGAGGTGGTTTGGAAGTCAGCATTGTTTTTATTGATACGGACTTCCACTTCGATATGCTGCGTTTAGTGACTCTCCTGGAATACAGATTGTCATCTCAAGGCACCGAAGCCACCATGAAGTGCTATCTGGAGAGGTTTTTCCTTATGAATTGCCACAGCAGCTCTCAGCTGCTGCTTAGTCTTTACTCTCTGGAAAGCATGTTTTTGTCCCACCCTTCCCTTTCCCTCTTGATCGTAGACAGTATGTCGGCTTTTTATTGGATAGACCGGGCCAACGGAGGAGAAAACCCGAGTCTGCAGGAAGCAAACCTAAAAAAATGCGTGCAAGTCCTCCAGAAGCTTGTAAAGGATCATCACTTAGTGTTGTTTGCCACTACTCAGTCGCTTATGCAGAAATCATCGAACTTTGTGGAAAGCTCAGAAAAAACGGAGTGTGATGCAGGTTCAGATTACCGCCCTTTTCTTTGTAAAGCGTGGCGACAGCTCGTCACCCACCGGATTTTCTTCTCCAGGCATCCTCATCCAGATGACACCCAAGGATTTTTATTGACTACATGTCACATTCAGAACGACTGCGCGGTAAAACGTTCGTTCTGCATTACGGAGCAAGGGATCCAGTTTTAAAAGCCCAGGTTAATTTTAAAGGCGGGCATGCGTTCTTTCTTTTAAAACGGTTTTTATATTTTTTTGTACTAAGGTTATCTCAAATTTAATGTTAGAAAGCATGCTTCAGGTGTATACGGGCAAATTGATGATGCTTTATAAAAAACGTTAAGTTCTGGGGTCTAATAAAAGTGGTTACTTCTTATTTTCAAGCACAGAAACACAAAGTTGAACTGGGCTGAGCGCTGAGGTTGAGCTTGATTTTTTTTTTCTCTTAGAAAAGATGTATTCGTTGACTGCATGCCCAGCACGCAACTGAATTTAATAGGAAGAATACTATTTTTTTTAATAATCCACTGAATAATTTGTTTTTATCTGTTTTGTCCTGATTTCCTGGAAATTTTTCTCACTTGTTTCAGTGGTCTTCATTCCATCCAGGGTTGTGGGGTCAACCAGGGAAATAGCTTTGGGGAACTCTCATTGGCCTTTTATTCAGATTGTAGCTTGAAATATGGAAAGCCATGGATGCAGTGGCAGAACAAACAAGTGAAGTTCTTAAAGAGAACTTGGTGTGCCTGAAACCCCAGCACTTTTATTCAGCGTGTCATATGTCAGAAGTTTGATAAAACAAGATTTGTTTGAATTAAAAAAATGCTCTGCAGCTCAGAGTAGTAGCAAAACCAATATTGCGTCTGTACAGTGCGTGTTAATTTTATTGCCCTTTGATTATTTCAGTGCTTTGCAAAATACATTTTATGATTGACAAGTTCAAGATATATGCAAGGCTAAAAAGAAATGCTTACATTATAGATGAAATCCATATATTTCGCGACTTTCCATTAATGTAGAATTGTCACACTTCCCACTTTTGAATAGAGTCCCTTCTATCTGTCATGCTACAATCTTCACAACAATCCTGAAAAATGATCCACATTGCAGATGGAGAAACAATTTGCCAACCTGCCTGAACAGGAAATTATAGTATTACTGACATGTCTGAATGCATACTTTGTATGTTTTCTTCTCCTGGGGATCCTTTATACATATACATGAATCTGTACAGATAGATAGATCTGTGGTGGGTACAGATAGATGGTTCCTAGGAACCATTTACTAGTAGTACTCAATTTACGACCAAAACCGGGACTGGAATTTCCATCATTGCAGTCAAAGGTTGAGTAGGGTATCATTTCTCCAGCAATCATTAAGCAAATCATAGGGTCATGAAGCAAACCCAGCTTCAACAATGGGTATTTTTTACCAGACATCTGCAAAAAAAGGTTACAAACTAATCAGATGACTGCAGGTTTCTGCAACCAGTTGTAAATGCAAGCAGGATTTAAGTGACTGAATTGTGATCACATGCAAGTATGAATACAGGTTGCAAGTCACTTTTTCCAAGATTATCATAACTTTGAACCATTGTTCAACAAATGGTTGTGAGTCAAGGACCACCTGTAGATAAGTTTTCTCCATGACGGTGTATCCCTAGCCTATTCTTTCAGGTCTCCCAACAGCAGGGCACTCATCGCCACCCTAAATGAACCCATCCCCCTTGCTTCCTGGCTGTCCTCTTTCCCCATTTCCAGGATTGGATCTTTGCATAATTGTGTGGAGTAAGATACATTGTGCCTTGAGTGAGAACTCTGGGTTGATATCTTTGACCAAGGCTCTTCAAACTTGGCAAGTTTAAGACTTGTGGACTTCAACTCCCAGAATTCCTGAGCTAACATGACTGGAGGAGGAATTCTGGGAGTTGAAGTCCACAAGTCTTAAAGCTGTTTTGGACGATACATTATTTTGTTGGCTATCCAGGTTATTCTTAGTCTTCCCTAACACAACAGTTCGAAATCCTATCATGCTTCTTCAAAGTCCAACTTCCGAAGAAGACCGTCCCAGGGAATACATGGACTGCTCTGATCTTTTATTGCAAAGATCAGAGCATTCAAATGCATCAGGGCATTTGAATATCTTTGCCAAGGACTTCATGGCTGCTTTATCCAATGCTAGCTTGCAGATACTTCTTGACTGATGCTTTATTATTGAGAGTTGACAAGGCAAAGCTACTCATCACTTCTTCATTGTCCATTCTAGAGCTGATGGTTCTACTTGAGGTCATTAGTTTGGTCTTCTTTGTGTTGAATTTTGGTCTCATTTTTTTCACTGTACTTAACATTAATGTATTTATAGATGGCAGGAAGCCATAGGAACAGTGGTGGTATTTGACCGGTTCTGGAGAGCCAGTAGGAGTGATGAGCAGCAGAGAACAAACTGGTTCTCTCGGCTGCTCTTAATGGCTCTGCTGTTGGGTTCACCCGCCTGCCCAGGCTTCCATACTCACTTTATCCGCTGAATTTGAAGCACAGCTGCTTTGCCGCATGGCAGCTGCTGAAGCGACTGGGATCTTGCAGGCTTGCAGTAAGCGAAGTAGAATGCCTCTGCACTTGCACAAACGCCTTGGCGCCTGCGCAAAGTGCGTGTTTGGCAAAGTTGTGCATGCGCACAAAGCACGGCCGCCAAACCGGTGGCAACAATATTTAAATCCCACCATTGCATAGGAGGGAAGGTTCATCAGCCTTTTGACATTTTGAAGGTCCGATATGAGAAAGGGGTAAATCAGAAAAAGTCTACAGTGAGTGCTTCCATTTACAAAATGTCAGAACGGTGCTGTCCAAAGCTTCCCAGGACACTCGTCATTCACTCCCGGAATACTTCCCTCACACCACCCCCAATTCCAAGGGTGTGTTTGCAAACAATGGCTGTGCAACATTTGTATTTACTAAGGAAGCCTGAGCAGCCTTTGTGGCATCCAAGACTTGACAGGAATAAATCCGAAAAGGGCACCAGATAGTCTTCATAGATACAGGATGGGTGGGTAGTTAGGTAGATGGGCAGGAGGAGTTTAGCATAGTCGTTTCTTACGGGTGATTTGTGTGCTAGTTAGAATGGGGACTATTTTCTGGAAGGGTTTTAAATGAGCACTGGTAAAACAAACTACTGATGCGGAAGCCCATTTATAACCCAAAACAAACTTGCCCCCTCATTCTTTTGTCATCTTTCTTGTTTTACGTCATCGTTACTGAGCGCTCCAGTAATTTCATCGGCCAAGTATGAAAATAAATGCACAAAGGCAACTCCCGCTATTCGTTCCTTCATTTCATTCTTTTCTTTGAAATGCTTTTTTAAAAGCTCTGCAGCCCGTTTTACACGTCAAGGTTTCTGCCTGGGCTTGTATGAGATGCGTGGGGCTGCATTTTCTGTTGTTTTTACATCTAGTAAATTAACTGTTACCTTGAATTTAAATTATCCATTCAACAGAATTGATAGACAGGGCTATCACAAAGTGGATGGGAGGTGGAACTTCACTATTTCAGATTTAGTTATAGCAAATGTTTACCGCCAAGGCATCACGAATTACAATAAGAAAAGAGCTATTGGACAGACCTTAAGATGAATTAGTAAGTTTTCCTATGGATGTTCTGATTCAGAGTAAGAAAGTGAAGGTGGATGGGGACCTCCAGAAGAATGTCTATCTCTCCGTTTCTTTCTCGGCTCATTTCCTTAATAAGCTTCTTTAAAAAATATTTGCATTTTGGCCATTAGCTAGAGTGACTTAACCCTAACATCTTGGTCTTGCAAATATCTAGAGTCAGTTTGTTCTAGTGGTGAAGGCACCAGACTAGAAACGAGGGCGTGAGTTCCAGTCCCACCTTAGACACGAACGCCAACTAAGTGGCTTTGGGCTAATCACCAGGCAATGTGAGTTCTAGTACTGCCTTAGACATGAAAACTGGCTAAGTGATTTTGGGCCAATCACCAGAAGATGGTGAGATCTAGCCCCACCTCCGGCAAGAAGCTGGATGGATGACTTTTGGCCAATCACTCTCAGTCCAACCCACCTCACAGGGTGGTTGTTGCGGGAAAAACAGAAGAAGATGTATTAGGTAGGTTTGCAGTCTTGAGTTATATAAAATAATAAAGGCGGGCAAAATAATAAGGGCAAGATTAAAAGCATCCGATAAATGGGTTCCTCCTGAGCAATGGTGGGATTCAAAATATTTTACTATGGGTTCTGTGGGCGTGGCTTGGTGGGCGTGGCAGGGGAAGGATACTGCAAAATCCCCATTTCCTCCCCACCCCACTAACCTGCTTTCCAGCTCCGTTCTCCTGTACAGGGCAACAAAAGGAGACCCAGCCAGTCAGCTGGGACTCAATGGGAGGCAGAGAAGAGATGGGGGTGGGGCCAGTCAGAAGTGGCATTTGCCGGTTCTCCCAACTCCTCAAAATTTCCGCTACTGGTTCTCCAGAACTGGTCAGAACCTGCTGAATACCCACCTCTGATTCTGTGGCTCTGGGTCAGAGCCTCTCCAAGCCACTTTTGAGGCTTTGCCTGTGACAGAAACACAGCCGTCCACCCTCCCTCTTTGGTTATTGGGGCAGGTCATGAGTAGACAAAGCCCTTGGGACAGGCAGCCTCCTTGCTGACCAGCAAATCCAATCTGGATTTCTGTGCAGAGGCACTCAAGATCCTGGCAAGGCCCATGTCTCCACCGAGAAGCTTCCTTTCCTCCGAAGCTGTTTTGATTCTGGCTCCTTTGGCCTCTTTCCCTGACCAAAGGAGTCACTGGTGCACAGAGGCAAAATTCTGGTGCACAGAGGCAAAATTTGCTTTCCTGGACTGAGGCCCCTCCGCTTGACCTGGAAGCAAAGGCAGATCGAGGGAAAGAGGCCGAGGAAGAGGGAGCGGCTGCCCTGCCTGTTGTTCCTGTCTATTCCCAAGGCAGATCCCGATGCAGCTGTGGCTCCCCAGGGGCACCTCTGGAAAGAAAGAGCAGCTTATTACCCATCTTCTCCAACCTCTGTCAGGACCTCCACATCCTGAAGCCAGGATTAGAGGCTGCACAAAGCTCTTTGATGGCTCTCAGTGGGCTTCCTTGTGCTGCGTCCAGCTGCCTTCGCATGCCGTTTTTCCCTGTTCTTCCTTCAATATTTTTTCCAGTTGACTTAATGATTACAGTTCATGGACCAAGGCTGAAGGCAAAAGCACCAATAGATGGCCTGGGCATTATGCTGTGTGCGAAAAAGACGGAAGCGCTCTTGCCATGCGATGACATCACCTGGAACACGATTGGCCAGCTTTGGGTTGAAAATAGGGGGTTGGCCTGGGGCCTCAGGGATTTTGCCGCAGCTTCCATGATACAGAACAGAGACGGGGCCTTGTCTCTTGCCAGCTTGCTTTGCTGCCAATGTCCTGGCAAAGCCTGAGACGTTGAGAAAAACAGAACAGTCCTTTGGCTTGTGCTGAGAGGCGATGCGAGGAGGAGAATATAAAGCCCTTTCACAGTCCCAGCTTGGACCCAAAGTGGGAACAAGCAAATGAAAAACACTCCAATAAACAGCTCTGCACATTTGGATCCCAAGGAGCTCATAAACAAGTTGGATTCCCCTCCTGAGGAGGGTGAACACAAGCAAAGGGAGTTGTGGTGGATCTCTCAGGGAGAAGGGATTAAGCACCAGGCAAGCCTTACAAGAGGTTTTATTTAACGATGCACTAACTAACCAACCATTCAGCTGATTGTTTGTAGAAATGCCACACAAAGCAATTTGATTCGCCAACTTTTGGCAAGAAATACATGGGAACAGA